GTTTTTATTAAGGTTATATTTTCAACTTTCTTAAACACCTTTATCTTATCAAATTGTTTGTTAAATAGCCTTGTGATGGCTATATAGTCAAAGGTATTTGCAAAATCTATGACATTATCTCTGCGCATGAAGACACTATCAGGTGCGTACATTCAAAACAAATTAAGATACTCATTGTTAGTCGCCAATAATCACAAACCTAGCCATAAGACTAGAACTACTTCCCTAATAATCAATGCTTCTACAACCAAGATGTCTTGCTGTCGATTAGCGATCTCTAACTGGACTGTAGTTAGATTGTGTGTTCTGCTGGTACTGTTTAGTTGGACCAGTATAGTCAGTAGCTCGAGTATGGAAGTAGATGAACCGGATTTGCTAACTTCAAAGGAGGTAGTTGAATCTCTAAATAGGATTGGTTTCTGGTGGGATGAGTTTACCCCGCGTATTGAGGTTATATCCCATTCTCCAGAGAGAACCAGCCCAAATCCAGCCCACCCTAGCTCTACACAGAACCAGGCACCTATGTATGCGATAAGCTTTTCAACCCATCCTAACTTTATACGGAGCGGGACACCTATGTATAAGACACGCTTTTCAGGCTGGTGCATTTCTTATTCAGTCCCAAAGAAGCCAATCTTATTGAAGAAAGCACTGGATGAAATAAGAAGGATTGCTGTAGTTGAGGCCCAGCAAATTAGTATTTTCTATACTGTGGTCGATGTAAGTTCCCATAAAGAATGTTTGTTGCTTCTGTGTCGGGTTCTGAACCTAGTTGAGTGTGAGAAGGCGGAACTTCTAGTTAGTCTCAGTCACAAATCTCGCACAATTAGCTTTCTACCTGGCGTTTCAGATAACTTTGATTTAGATATGCATCGGCAAGCGGCTGAAGATGCCATTAAATGGGCTAGCACGGCTCCATTTCATTTGGTTATGCAGCTACGTATTGACTCGCATGTCTTTCTAACGTACATATTTAATGGCCTCGTTATATTGCGACCTGTTTCACAGATCACTATCTATAATGAATACCTTCCAGATATTTCTAAGTATCTCGAGCGCTTAAACCTCACAGCTGACTCTGCCGTTATAATTGACCATATCATGCCACATGTTACGGTTGACGTGAAATTCGTTCAAGAGGCTGCTCATAAATGCGCCAAAGTCATATTCGCTCTTGACAAAAACGGTGGCATAAAAACACTAACCGGATTTAAGAAACCATCTGCTACAAGCCCAGCTATAATGATATCTGCACCATGGCCTGACATCCAAGACACTGCAATGCACAATAAGTCCTCAGCCCATCTTCATGGTCTAATATATAATGATTGGCATCACCGGGAATGGATTCAAGGATTGGTTAAGATCAACAAATCTGAATCGTGTCCTAGCCCCCTCATCTTTGTCGATAATCTTATTGTGGTACTCGTGACTTCGCACCTTTGCGATTTCTTGGCCTTCCACAAGAAAGCATTCTTCGTGGATTCCTTTGCCAAATGTGGCATTTCCATTGGCAATGTTGAGGTTGAGTATGCTGCTGGCCGAGAGGATTTCTTTCAAGGATTAGAGACTCTTTATGAGGCCGAGGCTTTATTAAAAGATCCAGCAGATCTTGTTGATAAGAATATCGTGTGCCTTGGTCATGCACTTAGTGACACTAGTTGGGAACTTAAAGAACCGGTCCATATCAGACTTGATGGCTCACGTTTCACTCCAATCTGCTCGCATATACGCTACACAAAACTTACTGTTAGTGGTGATATAAAGCCTAAGCCGGGGCAGTCCGGCCTGTGCAATGGTTTTCTAAATATGATACGAAGTATCAATGCGCAAGAACTTTGCATCTTAAATGTGCGTAATTGTCCTTCAATTGGCACCAACTTTGACATGGCCAAACTAAAAAGCGAGATAGATAGACCTCTAAGATTCAACATCAATGTCGGGACTTTGATTCTAGATAATGTTGATGATTGCATTTTATACCGAATGCTAGGTTACTATGAGTTTACTAACTCAAAACCAACTGAAATCCATCTCCTAAACCAACGCTTCACTAGTCTTGCGATTGCCCAAATACTAGCTCTTCCTATGGCCGAAAAGATCTCTAAAATCGTAATTGATAGCATCAGTCGTCTAAATGAGGTCAAGTATTTCCACGAGCGAAAGGAATTGAATGAGTTCTCACTGTTTAACTATCTCAAGAAGCGTAAAAGGACGGAAACAACTCAAAAACTTGACCTCCATAAGCTCGTCCTAATTCCTGAACCCATCATCTTCGACTCGTATAACATACCTTTACAAGCTCTCAAAGATCTTGGTGTCCAAATACTAACCCCGCCTGATAAATACAACACTGATCCTCCTTTCCCCAACCAACCTCATATGATAGATATGCAAAAGCTCATTTATTGCACTATTACCCTTGATGTCTTAAAAGCCGATCTTTTTAAATGTCATGCCACCCCTTTCGCCCAACCTAACCTACCTCCAAACACAATCCAGCTTGATTCCATTACTAATATGTTCCTGCGCATAAGTGACGCCCATTTCCTAACTAGAACTGATTTGAATACTATTGTCTGCCGGCTGCGCTGTCGATTCAAAAATCTAGCCATTCTCTGGCTGGCCAACTTTAAACTGATCGAAGAAGTCCGGAGATTGGGTTCGTACAAATTTATGGCCAATAATCTACCCCATCTTCAGCTTATTCAGATCGAGGACATAATGCCTAACAAAGGCTCAATTGAACTGGAGCTACAACCATATCTTGATAGTATGCATACAATTAATCGCTGTCCTAAAGCTATATTCACCGCAATATCATATATCCTGCTGTCTCAACTTTACACCCGTTGTGACAAAATTGAGGACTACATCCCCGATTACAAGGACATCAATCCAACCTTTCAAACCATCATAACTAGCCTCCAGGAATTGAAGAGGACTGGCAAAATTCCTGGCTGTTCACGATGTCGAAGAACCCTTTATATGCCCCCGGAAGACATAGAAACTAATCTGGCAGTTATTGCGGAACGTGAGCGCCAAGTTGATCCGGATGTAAACACCAAAATGATATGCTATCTTAATTGTGGACTTCCGCTTTGCATTTTTTGTGCCGAGTCAACTTATCAAAAGCGTCTCGATCATTGTGTCTCTTGCCGATACTTAAACAGAAGTAAACCTGTCTTCAACCGGCTTATAAAGACTCCCTCGCCGATTTTCATCTTCCCTGATAGTAGTGCTAATGTCACTATTACTGATCCCGGGCGACTCCAAACCATACCATGGAAGGACAATCTCTACTACTTTTACTTATCCTATGAAGATCCAGGGGTCTTACGCGATGCCGACGAAAAGGACCGCCTTAAACACATCTATCACACTGAGTGCAGAGAAACCGAGTACTTCAATGCCCCTGATTAGGTCAACCGGACTTTTCACCCACTTTAGTGTGAAAGAACCAATAACCCAGCAACTCTAACCTTGTCCTACAAATACTAACCCCATAGTGGCACTAACCTATTTTGGTGCTTTCAACCACTATATCACCCCACCCACTCCTCTATTCACTTAACCCAATACCCTTTTGAGCTACTCGATGGAATATCTATCCATCTCAACCTTACTACACTACACCATCACTACATTACACCACCATAACTCAAATAAATCAAACTAGCTCAACTTCTCTATGTCTTCTTTATTGTCCTAACCCAAGTAAACCAGACTCCATTGCTTATCTTAATATTGCGTTTTGGTCTATACATCCCCTAAATATCTCCAAACATAGCACTCCTATTCAACAGCCCAAGTTTCTACTAGTCTACTACTTGACATTGTAATCGACTGAAGCAGATCTAAATTCACAACATACTAAACAAACACTAAGTGAAAGTAAAACTCAAGAAGAACTCAACCAAATTTCAAAATGAATACTATTGAGTTTATTTTAAGATTAGCCTTATACTAACCCAATTGAATAGATATTTGAACCTGATCTAATGAAGAACTGATCAAGAAAACCACACTAAGCATTGTCCACATATTTAACATCCAGACATTAAGCTAGTTAATGCCAAGAACTGAACTGAGGTTGAATTTGGTAGCTATTGTGCCCTAGAGGAGAAACATGACCTTTCAACCAAAAGTGCTCAATGAGAGACAAGTCGTCACTCAGGCTAATGCTGGGTTTATTCATTAGATCTTGAAATTAAGTTTCTGGGGGAGAGCTCTGGTTTCTTGCACTGTTTTCTGTATGCCCACCAGGAAAGCCCTTTATCAACCTTCAACGTATATTTCTACTTCGAAAGAGTGACACCAAGTATTGATGTTTCTTACAGAATGTATTGCATATCTAAAGTCGTAAAGAATCAATATCTAAGTTATTTACCCATGTACTTGCTCGTGTAAAAGTAGAGGTATATCTATATCCTCCTTAAGATGTGTGAGGAATGGTACAGACACCACAGTTTTAAGTGTTTGCCAAGCATTTTAATGTCGAAATAAGACCTAGATCGATTTAATATTAGTGATGTTTGTTCTTATAAACAATGCAAGGTCAATTGCTGTTCTTCCTAGGACTGCTTGCCCTTTTTAGCGCTCAACATGCTTCAGCTGGCAATTCCTCAATACTATCTAGCGCGGCACTGCCTCCTTTATCTAAATTGGCGGAAGAGCCGGAATTGATTGTCGACTTTGACTTGTCCAAGCCATCTAGTGTAGTTGAAGCAGCGGAAACATCAAGTGTGCCTGCTGTATTTAGATTTCCTAAATCAAGTAAGCCGTACAAATTGGGTATTTTCACCACATATAAACCAACGGTTTGTGGTATTGCCCAATTCAGTGAAAATATGATTAAGGGGCTACTTAAAGCGGCTCCTAATGTGCAGATTGAGGTCTTCAATGCAGTTCGATGTCCCCCGGGTCCGCCCAGAGTCAGCAAGGGCATAAAGATTCGCGATGTCTACTGCATGTCCTCTTACGAAGTGTCTGAGTTTGATAGGCTAGCGAATTATATTGCCCAAGAACAATTTGATGGTGTTTTGATCAACCATGAATTTGGTATCATTGGTAATCACGCCCACTTTGTTGATCTACTTAAACTCCTCAAACGAACTAAGGCGGACCGCTACACCATGATTCATACCCCAATGAGCTATCCCGCTAAAGAACAACGAGCTCATCTCCGAGCTGTAGCAACTCACTCCACCAATGTCTTTGTGATGTCCTGGAAGGCCAAACACTATCTTCACCATACCTATGGCATTCCCGAACATAAAATCGTTTACTTCCCCCATGGCATTAGTCGGCGCACTCCCTCCAAGGCAGTCCTGCGCAAGTTCGGTCTTGCCCCAGAAAGGTTCATCATTTATTGTGACGGCATCCTCCATCCAAACAAAGGCATCGACCGAATCATTAAAGCTTTGGCCATTCTTAAGGACCGAGGCAAAATAGATAATATCCTACTACTGGTAGCCGGAACTAACAGTAAAAATGGCCGGTACATGCAACGAGCTATTTACCCGCTGATTAGAAGGCATCGCCTGGAAAAGCATTTCCGCTGGATCCCGCGGTTCTTAACTAACAAAGAAATGGCTACTCTGCATAAGCGGGCCAATATCTATCTTACCCTCTTTAATGAAGTCATTCCTACTTCCGGCACGCTGACTTATGCCATGTACGCCGGGGATGCTATCATTTCAACCCCCTACCGCTATTCTTTGGAATTACTAGGGGTTGATAACCATCCACAGCATGGCACTAATCTTCGTCGTATGAACGCCCTCCGCCATGAGAAGAAAGTCATTGGCTATGCCGGTGTAAGTGTGCCTTTCGCTAATCCAGAGCATCTGGCCGATGCCATTCTTGATATCAAAAACAATCCGGAATTGAGCCAAACACTTGAAAAGAACGCTCTTCACCGAACCAAAGGCTATTCATGGACCAATGTAGCTCGCCATATCGCGCACTTTCTTCAAACCAAAGAAGCTGTCGCTCTCAACCCCGATCCATACAAGAACTGCTATGTTCCTTCTTCCTGTGCCTGGACACCCCACAAGATTACCTCTTTCTTCACACCCACTACTATCAAGAACTTTCCTGATGGCTATTACCTTATCTATCTTGACTCATTTGTTAAAATAACAGGTCATATTTCTAATCAGCAAATCAAACGCATCTTTGTCCAGCCAAGACAGAAACCCAATCGCACTTCCAAACTCAAGCGCAAAACATATCACAACCGCTCAAAAACCATCCAACTCACTACCAGCCCGCACGTATCCCTAGAAAACTCAGCCAAGAATAGGTACACCATCTTAACTCCCAACATTGCTTTTGAAATTAGGTATTTGCCTAAATCCCGGGCAGTCTCCTTCGTTGTCCTTTATGAAAACATCCACGGCTGTGCCTCCGGAATGCTCGGCTGTACTCTCCGTCAAAAGTATGACCTAACCAAACCACCCGTACCACAGCCCAGCCATTTCCGTTTAGGAGGACCTTTCCATCGTCGCTATTGTAAATAAACACCTTAGTTGTGGCCACAATTCACCATTTACCACTTTAAGTATTCACTACCATCATCATTACCACCACTACCTCGCCCACTGCACAATCCTAACTCTATCCCAATCCATCTCAACCCAATTCCAACCTATCCCAACCCAACCCATCTCAATCCAATCCAGCACAACCTAACCCAATACTAACTCAATCTAATCTATTTCACAACCAAAAACGAAAAGCAAATACATTCTCTTCCAAAAAAAGAGAGCTTTACTATAAGTTTATATTTATCATTCATAAGATAAGTTTATCTTTATTATCTCAATACACCATTTAAATCACCAGCCCAATATAAGTTAGCATTAAGTGCGACAAGAACCACATTAACATCACAATCTAAAGTCCACCGCCTTTAATCAGAACATGATATCATACAACTTACCACCAACCCAATACTAACACCACATCACATCACACAATCTATCAAAATACTAACAAAACACCAACTTGATACTATCAAAATACTAACAAAATAGCAACCTGACACCAACAAAATACTAACAAAACACTAACTTGATACTAATTTAATTCAAAATTAACCCAACTACTGATTGTCCTCCTTGCTCTTGAGCTGAGTCGTTTCCGGCCAAACAGCAGCCACTAAAATCGGCAGAACAATAGTAGCATCAGCATGAACTTTCACTGAAGTCGTATGCTTCTTGATTTTCCCCCAAGAAACAGACTCATCAATTCGAGCACCAGCATCACTTCCATCATACTCCTGAGCCGTATTTACTAACACACAATGGTCTAGACCATTCCGGAACAAGTTAGCATTCAGAATATGATGCTTCACAATTCCCGCACCCAAAATCAAAGCACCCGTCCACCGCGCAAACAATCCTTCCCCATTAATACGAGCAATATCCTCAACCAAATCAATTACTAGCCGATCCCGACCTTTATAGTACGTAATAATATCACCAATTGACCCATCAGTTATGCCCGGACAGTAAACAGGTATGTTGTTCCGGTAGGCCCAATAACAAAACGAGTCCTCAGCATCTATCTTTTTGCCCAGTTCGTAAATAAGTCTTGATGGTCTAATCACCGCAATATCTTCTAAATGCCGATATCCAGATACTTCTCTTTCCCTATCTAAATCATCTTCTTTCACACCTTCGACCAATCCGTCCAAAAACTCGTTCATCCAGCTCTCAAAGACAAAGTAGTTCTCATTAGGAATCAAAACATTCCCTACCCGGTTCAGACCTTGTTTCCTTAAAGTAGCTCCATCCATACTAAACTCTCCCAAACGAGATGGTTTTAAAGTCTTAATCAAATCTTCTTCTATCCCACCCGCTGTAGTCACTACTACGTCTACGTACTTGTTCTTAATCAGATAACAAAGAATATCGCGTAAGCCCGAACTAACTAAGTTACTAGTAAACCCCAAAAAGATCTTAGCCTCTTTTTGTCGCATCATTTTCAACTCCTCTATCGCTCGGTGTAAGTAGGTTCCTTGGAAGCCCACCCGTTTATATCCAGCGGCCCAGGCGGATAAATCAACCATTTGAAAGTCTTTCCCCGAAACAACCTCTAACGACTCAATCTTTTCCGATCCATTTAAAGCTTCTGAATCGGCCAGGCCACGAATACCGCCAACAGACTCAATAGGACATTCATTTTGGTCACTACTACTCTCAGACATGCTGATACTGAAATTTTTGCCCAATTAAGCGATTGCCAGTGGCCGTTGCATGGGTTTCTATCAGATTGTGTTTATCTGAGACGATCTACACACCAACATCTTTCTTGCCTTTTCTTTCCCGGCAAAAGGCTCTAGCTGTTTTCCCATGCGCACTTAAAATTACAAAGTATCCCCACAATCCAAAGATAAGCAAAAACAACAACAAAGCCACCCAAAGCCCAGCATAAAACCAAAAACAAGGCCAACTCCATTCTAAACTATGCCAGCCATATCGCAAACGCAAAAAGATGGCATAAACCCCCTGCAAAGTCTCACAACCAAGTAGAGCCATGAAATCAGGATAGTTTTTCTCGCCAATACAATTACCAATCCAAGGACAATGGTGATCCATGCGGGCTATGCACCGCCGACAGTCGCGACAGTGAAAGGCATGTTCCGGTCGAAATATACCACAGGATGTACAGAAGGGTTCTACTTGTTTCAATTTCCCCAGTGTAACAATACGCCCCACCATTGACCCACCTTCTTCTAGCACAACATAGGCCCCGTCGGCAAACTTAACTCGTCGTTTATAGTCCTCATTTCGTTTAGCCAAAACCCCCGGATCTGAGTACCACACTCGAAACAGAAGTCCCGAAGAAACCAGCGCTATTCCTAAATAACCCAATCGGTCGTAGCCGGTCCGAGCAAAGGCCAGACCCAGTACTAACCCAACACAATGCACTAATAAGGCGCACCAGAGCTTATTCTCCATTCTACTAGGCATGCCGGCAAATTTACACATGGTGGCTTTTATTGGTTAACAACTAGACAAACAAGCATCCAATTATTTATCTTCCCGATTTCGTTGGCTTAGTAGTGTGTTGTTGGGTTAGTATTTTGTTAGTAGTGTGTTGGCTTAGTATTGAGTTGGTAGTGTGATAGTAGTGTGTAGGGGTTGGGTTTAGTGGAATCAATATTAGATTGGGTTAGCATTGAGTTAAGTTAAATCAAGTACTAAGACATGATGCGTTAAGTTTAGATAAGAGTAAGTATAAGATTAAGATAGACAAACACAAACACAACCTAAACACAAACACAACCCAAACACAAACACAACACCCTCTTAACACAACACAACACAATCAAAACTTAACTTAACACAAATGTAAACATAGACATATACTAACTTATCTCGTATTTATACTGTATTTATACTGGACTTAGTACGGCTGATGAATTAGAAACTGAAGCAGGAGAAGTTAAAGCCGATTCTAGCTCAGATAATTGGCTTGATTTGACTTGACTCAATTTAGCCTGACTTGATTTAGCCAATATAGCACTAGCCCCGGCCTTCATACGTGACTTGTACGTCTCTCTTTCAAACCGAATGAACAAAGCCGTTAGAATAGCCACATAAACTATATTAAATCCAATGGCCGAGTGTTGGTACAACCGCAAAGGATAATCCTTACTAAACGTCCCAGGATAAAAGATATAGATAAACCCAAACCCAAATCCAGTCAAAAACTGACCAATCTGCAAGCAAGTAATCACCCGTTTAAAAGGAGGTCTTATCCCTACCACCGTTGCCGCATAGTACAAGTACATCAAGCTATGAATAAAAGAGTTCAGCACCACCCAAATCCAAGCCGAATAAGACTCACTCAAAGAGATCAGCCAACAAGCCACAATTGCACCAGCATGATGGTACATTTGCAAGAAGGTACACTTCTTACCCCCTGCAAAAATAATCGCCGTATCAACAATCTCATAATATTTTGAAATATAAAAAACCCAAATCCAGTTAGCCAACTCCCCCCACAACTGCTTATCAGCATCCAAAACAAAATCATGAAAACTCCTATTCCAAAACCCCCTCCAAATCACCGGAAACGTATGCAGAAACACCACCAGACTAAAAACAGACATAAACAGATTATGACTAAAGGCCCAACTACGATACAAACCAGATCTACGACTTGAATTAGTACTTATTGAATTGGTACTTATTGAGTTAGGACTTGTTGAGTTAGTACTTATTGAGTTAGTACTTATTGACTTACTCCTATTTGAGATACTCTTACTCTTACTACTACCAACCTTACTATTACTAACCTTACTATTACTATTACTACTTACTGCATTATTTGATATACGACACCCTTTCATCCTCTTCTCTTCACTAGTAATCCGCTGATTATTCTGAACTACCCAAAGAACATAAACCACACCAGCAAAAATCGGAACTTCCCAATGTAAACTCAAACTCTTAACTTTAGACAAGAGATAGCTATCTTCAATTAAAAGATCAAGCCAAGAACTAACCACTAAGTATCTCCCCATTTTTTGTTTGTATTGGATATGCAATTTATATTAATAGCTTCTGCTTTCGGGCATATCATCCTTTTAATCATCCTTCTAAAGAATCTGCGTTCCCCTGGTTATGAAGTTCAGCAAAACTTTGAAGGAGAAGCAAGTGCAAGAGTGGCGTAAGAAGTATCTAGCGTATGAGCATCTAAAAGGTCTCATTGACCAGTCGGAAGAGTGTTTCTTCGGGACATTAGATAAAGAGATTGATAAAGTTGAGGGTTTCTATAAAGTCTTAGAAAAGGGAGCGGAAAGAGGATTATCTAATCTATTAAGTTTATTCCCAGAAGAGGAACAAGCAGCTGTCTACGAGATAGCACAAAATCAATGCGGAACACCTTTAATTGGATCGGCTGGTGGTCGACATTCACGAGCTATGCCAGAAAGACGTAAAGAGAAGGTCTTAACTCAGAAGGCTTTAGAATCAAGAGTTCTAGAGTATTACATGGCGGTAAATAAGATAGCTAAGTATAGGGAGATGAACTTGACCGGATTTAGAAAGATTTTGAAAAAGTATGATAAGCAGTGCCGAACAGTCTTTGGACCCGATAAGATGGAGAGTATTTTAAGTCGGCCTGCTTTTTCCAATACTTATATCTATGATTTAATGGAGTTTACTCGTATGTTACATAAACGGATTACACCTAAGAAGAGACATGCTAAGGCGAAAGAGTTAGTGGTGGATTTAACCCAGGCCGATTCCCAGGGAGATGGGAAGAGTTTCTTTGCCGGTATGATGGCTACTTGTGGGGTGATTTGTTTAGCAACCGGATTACGGGAGTCTTATGCCTTTGAATACGTTGGCCTGGGGGCTTTTGATAGTTTATTACTGGTCTTTGGGATCTTATTGTACTTGTGCCGGAAGAACTTCATTAGTTATAACTTGATCTTAGAGATGAACTTGAAACCTAAACTGAAAATATCTAAGTACTTCTTATTGGTCTCTGGTTTGGTAATGGTTCATGGATCTTGTGCTTATTTAGGTATTGCTTGGGGGTGGGCTTGGGCCGTGCATATTTTGGTCTTACTACTGCCGGTTAATTTACTGATGAAGAACTTTAGGTATTACTGGTTGCGGACTTTGTTTGCTATCTTTACTTGTAGTGTTTGTGGTGTAGTAAGGTTTAAGCACTTCTTTATTGCTGATCATTTACTGAGTTTACGGCCTTTACTGATTTGGGGGCTGAATAGAAGTGAGTCGCCGCCTTCCCAGAGCTTATTACTGCTGATTGTGGTTGTGCCGGTGGCTATTAGGATTTCACAGTGCTTGCGGCGGTACTTGAGTACGAGTCGAGGACAGCCGCGCTTGCACATTTACAATACAATGAAGTATGGGTTGATTCTCTCAGCGGACTTATCTGGAGTCCTGGTTGAGCAGACGGGTAATCTGCCTTGTATCTTCTTATTGATTTTAGCTAATGGGGCCGGGTATACCTGGGACTTATCGGTGGATTGGATGCTAGGCCGGCGGCCTAAACTCTTCCGGTTTCAGACGTATGTAGGCGTCTGTCTGCTTAATGGTCTGGCCCGAGTTCTGGTTGTGGCGGTTTTTATTGTGAAGAGCCAGAAGGTAGCGGTGATTATGCCGTACTTGCCACAGATAGGACTGGTCTTAGCTTTACTGGAGTTAGTACGGCGACTGGTTTGGGGAGTGATTCGTATGGAAGTTGAGCACTTGAATAACTGCGACCAACTGAAGGCCATTAATGGGCCACTTAATGATCTGTTTTATATGGAAAGCGCTAAATAGAAGGTCAGGATTAGTATTGGACTATCCTGGCCACCAGAGTTAGTATTTGGGTTATCCTGGCACACTAATAAATTGGGTTATATTGACTGAGTCTTGTCTATGGATATCATAATCTATTGGGTTGGTATTAGATTGGTATTAGATTGGTATTGAGTTGACATTAGATTAGTATTGAGTTGGTATTGGGTTGGTATTGGGTTGGTATAACTTAATCATAACATAATCTAACTAAATCACAACATAATCTAACTTAGTCTAACTCAACATATCAAAACACAACCACAACTCAACTCAACATAATCATATCATAACACAACTCAATCAAAACACAACTCAACAAAATCAAGTAACGCTATTTATTGGAGATAAGATGACTTACTTGGCTTACTGGACTTATTCCGAATGGTTAGGAGTCGTGGCATAGGTAAACTCTTCTGGATGTGCAGCTAGACACTCATACCAGTCATTGAAGAGAGCAGCATGCTCTTGCGTGCAGATCAACGGATAAAGGACTTCTTCTTTATAAGACTCGGCAATACTCGGATTGATTTCACCATGGGTTGAGCCGTAACGGGCATTGTAGTTAGTGAACAGACCGTGGGAGAGAAGAAGAAGAGCAGCCGGGGCTTTAGGAATATTCCTTCTAGGCTTAGCAAAGGCAAGACTTAAAGCTTGTTCAGCCGCTTTTAAATCGGTCATATGCCGGGCAACCAGCAGGGCAAAACCAACCATCTTCCTAATCTGGTGAATCATAAAGCTTTGGCCATGAATAGTTAGGCGGTGCCAAGATCGGCCGGCTAAGGAGAAGTCCGTCACTGTAATACTTTTAATAAACCGACTGGTTCCCTTCTCCTGATTAAGTAGAGTAAAGTTGTGAAAATCATGAGTGCCTTGCATTTGACTAAGTAGATGGCGAAAGACTTCTTCCTTCTGCTCCTGAACGGTTTCAGACTCATCTGGACCTAAGTAAACACCCTTCGGGACAAAATACTCATAAACCCGAGAGTCACACTTGTTTTTAGCCTCAAAGCCTTTAGTGGTTTCTAGTAGATCGTGAACAACAATATCATGAGGAGATAAGGCCGATTTAAGGATGTTTTTAAGTTTATCTGTTGATCGATCTGAACCAGTCTCTATCTTGAAGGAAAGAAGGAGCATAGCGGCATGAACACCTTTATCAGTCCGAGAGGCTCTTTGTAATCCGGCTTTAGAGTAGTCTTCACAGTTCCGTGCATGGAAATACCCGGCGGCAGCTACTTCATCACAAATCTGTTTCTCAACGGTCTTTTCATCCTTATTAAGCTGACTGCCATGATAGTTACGGCCGTTATAACCAACTAAGAGAATAACTCGCTTTTTGCCCATCCAAATTATTTTCGCATTCCACATATACTGATTACTTCTAATCCCTTATCAGTTCTTTTGATTCTGAAAGTTTCGTTCTGGTTGGTGCAGATTAAGGTCTCTTTGAGTTGGAACTTCTGGGTGGATGGGTGCTGTATAAGGGCTTGTAGTGGTGATTCTTCGCAAACTAGAGTTAGGCCGGTGGCATCTTCCTGGAAGGAGCCGCGGAAATGGAAAGTAGTGGCTGGTCCGGAAGCAACCCGTTGGACGTGCTGGGTATTATGGATAGTGACTAGATGGTGGCTGGTGCCTAGGGCATACGGTGTTTCTGGTAGGACGACAATTTGTGGATGGGCGGTCGGGGGTGGAAAGGGAAGGTAAAGAGTGGATACCCAGGGATAGGCTAGAGCGTCTTGTATAGTGCCAAAGAACTTAAAACTGTAGTTGGGTAAGTGCAAAGCTGGTAGTTTACTTAGGAATAGTTTATGGTCAAGACGGTCACAAATAACAATAGCTGGTTTTTGAGTGGTAATCTGGGCTAAGTCCTTGAAGGAAAGAGTTCTTAAACGGGTGGAAGAAGAAAGAATAGGTTGAATATTAGCATAATCAATAGAGAAACGAGTGGATAAGAGTTCTCTTTTGTGCTCGCAGCATTGCAGGAGCTTTTTGAATCCAGGATGGTAGATAGCAACGTGTTTGTCCTTAACAAGACTGAGAAGGTGAAGTGTTAGTTCGATGGAAAAAGCCATGACGTCCATGGTCACTACAAGATGAGTATGGGTCTTAGCAAGATTAAGTAAGTCAGTGGAAAAACTAGCCGGATCTGATTCAGCGGGTTGGTGGAAGTGCTTGATAAAGAGACTAACCGATGTCGTAGGAGGTTTTAGCTCATGAGAAAGTGTGCAATTACCTTTAACGCCATGTGTATACGAAAAGACGTACTTGTTACCGCGTTGCACATGATAGCAGGCCCAGCCCACACACGTATTACTTGATTGGGCAATAACGGTTAGATAAGGGAAGAGAATATGTTGGGAGAACGTAATAAGCTTAACTCGGCTGGCAATACTACGGTAGGCCGATACTTCCTGAATGATTGTATTGGGGGCCTGAGGAGTAGATGTTTTAGTCGTTCTTCTAATAGGACCTAGGCCTACGTAGTGTTTAAGTGTTTCTTTCATCTGTAAATAGACGATTTCAGTGACATAGATAGGTAGATGGGAGGGAGTGAAGAAAACGCCTAGTGAGCTACTACTACTAATGAAAATGGCCGAAAGATCAGATGGATAATTGGCTAGCGCTTCAATTTCAATGTACTTCATTTTATCAGAAATACTTTTGATTTGGGCCTTATTATCAATGATTAAAGAAGGGGGATCAAAAAAGATCTTTGTTGTTTGTTCCGATAAGATACAACCATGGGAAGTACCAATTGACAACTTGCAAATCTCCATGTTCAAACTAAAATTTTAGAGGATTTTGACCAGAGATATCAAATTTAGGGCGATTTATTGAGTATTACAGTTAGAATTAAGTCGGGGTAGGTGTAAGAGACGATATAGTTTGATTTGGGCTTGTTTGTTTTGATTTTAGATGGGATTTGATCAAATTGCTGGCTATCTGAAAAATTTGCGACATGATGGCTAAACTGACGTATTTTGTGAACCAAAAGATAGATTTGGTAGCCCAGAAGGACTTGGATGTGCTTAGTGAGGTAGTTGGTAGCAAGTTGGCTGTTCAAGTGGCTAAAAATGGGATTAAAGATGGGTGCCGGATTAAGCAGGAGGTGGAGAGAGCAGTTAGTGAGGAGTTAGAGTGCGTGGTTTTGGCCGATTCAGATAGGTGCTGTGTGGACTGGGTAGCTGTAACTCATGCCGATGCTGATGTTCTTCTGAAAGCTTCATTTTCATGTCCGTTATTGAATAGTAGTCGAAGTGCTAAACTAAAACGGGTCGTGCGAGTTATGCAGTACTTACCCTCCGTACAGTTGGATTGCCAGGAGTTGCTGGACCCAAAATACGCTGGGGTTTGGTCTAAACACTGGCCAGACTTATCCTTCTATTTAGCAGTTGATTCGCATTATTTAGCTGGACAGATAGAGATAGCAGCTTGCTTGACCCACTTAATGGGCCGGCCGGTCCGGCTTTGGACTTACAACGAGGAAATTGTCAAAGAGGCGGCTGTAGTAGTAGTGGTGGCTAAGGACCCCGGGTTTATTGAGTACTTTAAGGAGAACTATACTGCGGCGATTTTAAGTGCAGCCAATTGGACTTCCTTATCAGTCCTAGAGAGTCAGTTGCAAGCGGAGTTGACACAAGCCGAACTGACTAAAACCAGGAAGATGGTTAGTAAGTTGGCCTTAGCCGAACGAATTCAAGCCGCACGCACAGTTGGAATTGTGTTTACATCGGGCGATCATATGGCATTAGTTGATATTATTGCCAAGTACTTAGATATGCACCAAAAGAAGTTCTACCACTTCTTTATCAATGGACTTAAGCCGCAGAAGCTTGGTAACTTTATTGGGGTTGATTTGTTTGTAGTAATTCAGTGTCCGTTTTCTAGCTTTCGGTTTGAAGAGAACATTGTGGCTGTGCGGCCTTATGATCTTCTGTTGGCCTTCCGCCAGCATTGGGATGGTACCTACACCACTAACTTAGAAGCTGCCCACGATCAGATTCTCATGGAGATTCAGGCCGTCACTGATTCCGATACTACCCCTACTGATTCCGAGACTATCCCTACTGATACCAAAACCAACCCAATACTAGCCCAAGACAAAAGTAATAGTGAGAGTCAAACAAGTCAGGCTTTGCAGATTAAAAGCGAGTACAACCTTTTGCGAATCCAGCCCGGGGAAGTTTGTACTCAAGAACAGGCTGCGCGGTACTTCCAAACCGGTGAGTACTTGAAAACACTCCAGGGCTTAGGTGTGCCCGAAACAGCTGAGCAAGAGTCGTTAAACAACACCCTGATGGAGGGCTACTCAGGGATTCCCACCAGTTACACGAAAGGCAAGTAATATGCAGCACTAAACATGGCCAACAATAAATTGATAATCTTGTTTATTCGGACGCATCTATGCTTTACAGTTAAGCTCCTTTTTGGGTAGCTTTGAGTACGTTATCATAGGCTATCTTTGCTATAGCTGCCCTATTAGCTTCAATGGGTAGTTGCTCCTTTGCAGTTAGGAAGGTACTATATAGATGGCGGTATGTGACGGTGTAGTAGCCACCGAGCGTAACTATCACAATAATCAGAAGTAGCATTAGAACGTAGAAGCATCCTAGCAACCAGTCTGCGTTCACTTGGTACCGAGTATAATGTGGCCCGGCTTGTTGTGAGATTTTAAACTGATCTGTATAGCCACGGAATCGGGTTCGGCACATCCAGACCAGCCGCCGCACAAGGTACATGGAAATTATGAATGCGACAATAGCAGAAAGAGCGGCAAGAGAAATAATAAATGCATCTACCAGACTCATTAGGTACCACTCGTTGAAAAAGGAAAGAGTTAGGAGTGCCATGAACATAAAGGCAAATCGGTGTGATGTGAATAGCTTTTGGTGTCTTTTGAATATCGGATTGTTTTGAACCACGCTATAATAGAGAATCCAGGCGATGAGTGGATTGATAACACTCGTAACAAACGCAACCATGATAAAACTCGTTACCATTGGCGGGAAGTTACAGACTTCTACCAGCCAAATCATAAGCTTAGTACCATGCGCAATATCTAACCACGCCATAAACAACAGAATAGCTGCGATGATGACACCGCAGAAGAAGATCAGGGCTTTTGTGTGGTAGATTAGTGTTTCAAAGAGAGTTTTCCGGTGCTTGTAATCGGGGTCATCCAGATCTTCCTCCACACTAATCTTAAGATCAAATGACTGACTATGATCAATATTGTACACCACGATGGGTTGGTTGTCTGCCTTGTTCCTAGATAGAAAGGTCATTGTGACATCGGCTATTGGGATTTTGCCCGATGCATCTGGAGCCATATCTGATTTGGCTTTAAGAAAGGCACTAGGGTTGACGGGGAAATTCTGGTTATTAGCGGCCACATCAATTTCATTCGGAGTGGGCGTCTGACCTAGATCTCCACCCAGACGTATCCGAGTTGGCGTGATAATGGAGTTGGCCCGAATAAAGTCATTGAGCGATAAAGCCGGGGCTGCGCCTTTTTCTAGCCGGTATCGTTGGGTTGGATCGTTGAAGAAAGAATGTGCCCAACTAGTCGGCTCGGTGGATAACTGCCGTCTAAGCTGCAGTTCTTCTGTCTGCCACTTAACATCACGGGGTATATTGTGCTGGGTTAGACAGGCGCTGAATTCCTGTAGATATGGGCTTATTAGCTGGCCGGGGTCAATCTTTGAGGCGGCATGAGGAAAGTTGAAGTTAGTGGTTTGTATATATTTGTACGCTTTCTGCAATCGGCATATATAGATAAATAGAGCGAGTTGCTGGGTTGGGTCTGGCTCAGCTTGCTGGAGTTCCACAAGCTTAGGGAACCACCTTTGAATGGTCATTCCTTCTAGAGTTTTGATACGAATGTTTGCTGGCTGGGCCAAGTCTTGGACATTATTATCTAGAATGGCTGATATGACTGCTACTTCGGCCTTGACTTTAGGATCTGGGAAATGCGTGGGGGTTTGATTCTGAATATGCATATTAATTAAGGAGTGTGTCCGGTTAATCTCGTTTTGAATATCAATAAGAACACTGATAGTTTCCAGTAGTCTTTTTATATTAGGAATCGGCTGATCACTCACTGGTAGGATAGGGTTTGCTGAAAGGTACTTATACAGGCCAGTAAAGGCCTTTTCGTTGTCAATGTATTTAGTGCCATCATCCTTTTGAATCGTTGAAGCCCCAATAACCTGGGATATCTTTTCTGTGATATTGCTGCAGCGATGGTCCGGCACTAAATATTGAGTCATTAACTTGGTAATTGCATCAATCAGATAATGATGCGTTGGCGAGTGTTCACCTTTTATCTTCTCTAAGGTCTGTTTTAATTGAGTCTGGTAACCTAACCGGGCCTCAGGCGAGAGCTGAGAAAGGCTGGTATTTATCGACGGATCCATGGTTTTTTATGCACCGATCGCAAAAAATATACATATTTCCCAATAAGGAAATAATGTATGTCTGTTACAATTCTAATTAAAATTCTAATTTCAATTTCAGCTCAAATCCAAAATAGGTTATCATCAATAAACTATCACCAATAAACTGCATTTATTATATTTATCAATCAACTTAATATGTAGTGTCTGGATCACTCCCTCACACATCTTAATGAGGATCTCGATATCTTTGCTTTTAAACGAGTAAGTACATGGGTAAATAACTTAGATATTTATTCCTTATGACTTTAGATAAGCCAATTCTAGATAAGCCAATACTAACTCAATGCGAACATAACAATAAACAGATATTAACCTAAATGATGATTTATCTCCCATGGAGTACGTTTGGTTGCGAGGTCTTTATCCTCTCCAAGGGCACAACTTAATTCAACTCAATATTAACTCAACTTAACTCAATACTAACTCAACTTAACTCAATACTAACTCAACCCAACTCAATACTAACTCGTGGTTGTGCTTATCATATTTGCGGTGGGTTGGCGCTTTGCGATGTGGCTGAAGATTGGAATTTGGCTTTATAGTATTCGGTGTAATAGGCTAAGTAGTCCATTTCAGAGGTGGGGTCCTTGGCGAGAGCGGTTGCGGGAACGTAGCCCAGAACCTTCATTATAGTGGAGTAGGCCAGATATAAGGCAAGAAGAGCCAGAATACAGCAGACAATAAATAAGAGAGTTTGAAGAAGGTGGATAGTCCTGGGGTTCTTGTTGAACCTTTCAAGCGAGCTACGTCGTAGGTCAAGAGCTGCAGTTTTGTTCTTTGTCTCCGCGTCAATACTGTTCTTTTTCTTGCCCAATAGATCCTTACCAATCCGAACCATACCAAAGAAGTAGACACACAGTAAAGAAAGTGAGCCTAGTAATTGGAAGAGCTGGTAGATATTCATTGGCATTAGGGCCATGAGTGATAGAATAGTAATTCCGATGAAAACCTTGGTGGAGTGAATATGGTTTCGTTTTTGTAGATTGGACATAGTCATCACAATATAGCCCAAAAAGGTTGCCAAGAACCCGTTTATCACTGTAAAGGTCAGAGTTCCACAGACGATTTTAGTGCCAAGGGGATAAGTTATAGGTAGATTAGTGAAAAAGTCGCCGGCTAAGTAAAATGTAGCTATACCAATGATACTAAGAGCTAAGAAGGCCACCAGCCCACATTTGAACAGTGACATATGCCGTTTAAATATCTTATCGGAAAAGACCCGTTTTGAAAAAGTGGATGGAAGATAGTCATCAGGATGAATGTAAACGTGGTGGTACTTTCTGTTGTTTTTGAAAGCCAATAAGATATACTCATAAAATGGCCGACCTGAGGGACTTTCGGTTTGGATAACCTGGCCGTCTTGAAGCATGTCTTTGGTGATCCCTTCTGATTTAACTAACTGCTGGAAGGCTTGGGCAGAAAGAACGGAATGGCGGTACTTGTACCAGGGCTCACTACGATAGGTCAATAAAGAGGGTGTTTTGGCAACGAAGGTCTTTAAGTACTTAGTATACGTCTGAAGTACATAATCGTTCTGCATTTCTGTCAAACTAAGATCACCCAAGGTGCTGTAGTAGATCTTGCGCAAGGCTTCAGTAATTAGTGTATTGCTGACGGGACTGAGTTCCATGTTATCAGCATCAATAAGAGGATCTTCTGCGTTTGGGGTTGAAGTTTGGGTTTTGGTCTTTTGACTCTTCTGACTCTTTTGCTTCATGCTAGTGAGAATATCCTCGTACTCGGCCATGACTTTCTGGTCTTCAAAGATTCGAACACCTAAGAATCCAAGTGTACGGCGGATTTGAACTCGATCCGCAGTGTTGTATTTTTCATGGTATTCATGTACTAGTCCTTGAATTAGACCATCGAGCTGGATTCGCAGGTTTTCGTGGTTTTGGATATTCTTATGGATTAAGGGATCCTTGCCGTCGTTTTTAAGGAACGCAACTAACTTCCAAGCCTTGTACACCGTGTTACAGGCATGGAAAAGATCAGCCCAGTGCTTGCTATAACAATCTTCGAGATTAGTTGCATTGTTGATGATGGATGTAGAGTCAGGTTGTTGGGGTGGGCTCAAAACAAATCCAATGTCTTTGGACTTACTCAGATCTTCGGCGTTTTTGATTCTAATCATGTGACATATTTGGTCCAACTGTTTCTCTAGATTGTTAGTGGTGGTCATATAGTCATCAAAAATGATGTGGGACTGGACTAACCGGCTGGCAACTAATTGGTCCAACAGACCAGCAATTCGTTCACGGAATTGGTCTTCAGTAGCCTTATTATCCCCGAGGAGGTCGCTGATCCTATGCCTAAGCCCGCCTTCACGCTTCAAGTCGTACTTGTTATTAGCAGCCAGTGAGTGATCTGGATCCAGATAGAAGTCACTAACTTTACTATGTATATTGCTAACAAGACCATCTACTGTTGGAGACGCACGAATCGTCAAAACTTCCTCAAGTAGCTTAGCCTTTCGCTGGTGCCGAGCTTGATACTTCTTTGTGATATCATCGGCTGTATTCCGCCAAGTTTCAACAAACTCGTTTAGTTTCACCAAAGTATCAGCATTCATATCATTATTAGCAGGAAGTTTAGTAGGAAGTTTACTATAGCACTTGATAATATTCGGATAGGCTTTTTCAATCATACTTTTGTACACTGGTTTGTTGAACAGGTTAATGATGGTTTTGTGGTACATCTGGCTGAATTCCGGTGAATTAAGAAGGGCCGTATCAGCATTGACTGCTGCCTGGAGCATAGCTTGCAATTGACTAAGCACTGCCTCATTTCTTTGATAAGAAAGTGCTACATAGGAGTTAAGCACATGCATCCTGTCTTGCCGATTATGAATCAACTCTCGTATGTTTTCGATCTTCTCTAGCATTTGGTTGGCCGTTGAGTCAGATGAATTAGATATTGCCGTTTCCGTAATGGTATCCAAAATCGACCGAATCTGATCCGAGCTCTGCTTAGCTCCCCATACTTGGTTTGCCTCATAATATTGCAGCTCATGCTCAATCTCTGGAGCAGACAAGAAAGTCTGGATGCTTTGAAATAGATTCTCAGCGGTGGTGTTGGTTGAAGATAGCTCTTGCTTGATTTGTTCACTGACATAATTAGCATGACCTTGCTTGATGAAAGGCTCTAACAGCTTGTTAAGTGTTTCCAGAGTTTCTTTATGCAGTGCAGTAAGTTCTGGGCTTTTAGATATATCTTGCAGTAATACTTGTCGGCTTTTGGACTTTCGTGCATTCTCATAGAATCTGTTGGCTTTCTTGATGATTGTTTCTACGTGTTTGTCTTTTTGGCGTGGAACTACTCTCTTCACTTGATTAATATCCATTTTGATCACTAAAAATTTGGCATATTCCCCAATATGGTAATTTATTCACGTTCTTGAAAGAGAATAATTTACCATATTAGGAAAATTTAACTAAACAATTACATCAACAGATAACTGGTTTAGTATTAGTGATGATGATGTTAGTATTGGGTTAGTACACTAAACAGTACCAACTCAATACGAAGTCTATCTTAACTAATACATACTTTATTAAAGAGATTCCTTGCGATAAGTGTGGATACCATTTATTGAGTAAATACAGTTGAGTGAGTATGATGTTATCTTAAGTTAGTCTTGGTGTTAGTGTTGGTGTTGGTGTTGGTATTAGTACTACTAAGTAATGTGTACTAAGTAGTGAGTAGCTTACCAGTAATCGTATTGGTATTCCTATTGTGGTGGTGATTGTATGACAGCACTACAGTTAGTATTTGACTTAGATGAATAAATAGGAGATAAATAGTAGATAGGGATTCGCTGGTTTATAATGCTAACTATAACTTAGCCGATAGTAAATAGTCTTTGGTTATTAGCGAATAAGTGATTTATTGAATTGGACTTGTATTAGTATTAGGACTGGCTTGAATTAAGCTGGGAATAACTTATGGCATTCTTACAATGAGTCTTCCTCCATTGAGTAGACTGAGCTTTTCGCCACGAACTAGCCCCTCAATACACTTGGTGACTACTCCCTCACTATGCTGCCGACAAAGTTCATTGACCAAGGCGCTATATGATTTAGAGACTCCTACTGGTAGAGCCCGGCGAATTGCAGTCTCGGCTGCCGTATACTCCTTAGTCCACTCTTTACGAGGCATTCCCTCCACAAAATGACCCATAATAACGGCTTTCATTGTACTTTCCGTAAAAAGACGAATGGCTTCTTCCACATGCTCGGTAGTTACTACGGTTTCTAACTCCATTCGCGCTAAGGCTTCACTGATTCGCGTAATGGCTTCTAACTGTCGTACAGTAATGGGAATTGGTGCTTTTTTGCTATCTTTGCACTCTCGGGCCGTTTTCCTTGTTTGAATATAGAAGGCTTGCAGCCGCTGCGATGCATCTTCTTCGATTTCCGGGTTGATCGTTCGGGCATAGGCGGCATAGTCCCGGAGTGCTTCGGCTGAAAGATGGTCCTGCTCTTCGATCTCTACTTCACTTTGCGTACTTTCAGTATGGGCCTGCCTAGTACTACGCGTAAGCACGTGCCAGGCAATTTGCTTATCACTGATAAGATTGTCTCTAATCACAAAAACTAAGTCAAAACGAGATAAAATAGTCACGCCAAAATCAATATTCTCTCCTGGAGCCTTACTCTCATCGTACCGCCCAAAAATCGGGTTAGCTGCAGCCACCACAGCACAACGAGAATTCAAAGATGTCACAATCCCGGCTTTAGAAATAGAAATAGTCTGCTGCTCCATGGCTTCATGAATAGCCACTCTATCTCGTTCCTGCATCTTATCAAACTCATCAATACAGCACAGTCCGCCATCGGCCAGAACTAAAGCACCACCTTCCAAGTAAAACTGACCCATTCGGTCTTTACATACTGAAGCCGTCAACCCAGCCGCACTAGCACCCTTACCACTAGTATACACTCCACGCGTAGATACATTAGCTAGAAACTTTAACATCTGACTCTTAGCAATACCTGGATCACCCAGTAAAAGTACATTAATATCTCCTCGTACAGTTATACCATCACCAAACGACCGTCTCACTCCACTAAACAGAGCACATGCTAATGCTAGTTTGATATCTTTATGACCAAAGACTTCCGGAGCAATACTTTTGATAATAGTCTGGCGGGGAATAGGGGCATGACTGGTCATAGCTTTCTTAAGCGGTCGGTGCATGGGCTGAATACCAGCTGCACCTGTATTGGTATCCATACCAAAGATACGAATGAAAGGAGTGGCCTGCTTAGTATGACCAATCATGTACACTCCAGTGATTGTTACTGTACTGCCAGGAACCACTCGATCTACTAGTCCTCCAGTAGCCATAGCCATTAAATGACGTGGAATATCACCAGTTGGTAGATCTTCAAAAACCTCCTGGACTTTGATCATTTGTGAGTCCTGGAGAATACTCTTCTCAGGGATAGCAATAAACGTATCTGTTCCACTGCATGACTCGCACTTTTTGGGAATGGCTTCATTAACCATCTTGGAGTTCATACAGGTCTTGCAGAAGACGTAAAGAGAGATGGAGCGAGTGGCGATCGATGAAACAGAAAGGACTATTCCACGAACAGTTGAAATTCTGTTTAAGTGTTCAGCATCTAATTTTCTGATGGGAATAATAGTTGATTGGGAAACCATTTCGATTTCACGTTCAATTGTGGTTAAGCTGGCATCATTAATAGCACTCCTAAACAGATCAATGTAATGCAAAGGTCGAGATAGAACGGCTTGGAACAATTTCTTATCAAACATTCCTAAATGTTCAACAATTACTCGTAAAGTCTTATCTTCTTTGGCCAATTCAACGCGATAGATATATTCTGTTCCAATTCGGAAAGTGTCAACAAAGGTTTTGAACATGTTTTTCAACTGTTCATCCGATAGTACATTATCATCATTGGCTAAACCAATTTCATAGATCTGTTCTCTAGTAGACTGCATTATAAAAAGAAAGAAATTCGAGATTGGATTTAGTATTGAGTTGAGTTGGTTTGGATTGGTATTGGGTTAAGATTGGGTTAAGATTGGGTTAAGATTGTGTTGGTATTGGGATGGTTTAGGTTGGCTTGGTGTTGGGATGGGATGGGATGGTATTGGGTTTGATGACGTGTAACTTAAAACTAAAATTGGCTTAGGATGGTATTAGATTGGATTGAGTTAGTATTGAGTTAAGTTGAGTTAGTATTGAGCTGAATTAAGTTGTGTCCCTAGGGGGGATAAAGACCTTTCAACTAAACGTACTCCATGGGAGACAATCATTATTTGGGTTAATGTCTGTTTATTATTAAGTTGGGTTGGGATTGGGTTATCTAAAATTGGCTTATCTAAAGTAGTAAGGAATAAATATCTAGGCTATTGACCATGTACTTACTCGTTTAAAAGCAAAGATATCGAAAGCCTCATTAAGATATGTGGAAGGTACAGACATCACAGTTATCATTGGGCTGCGATGGCCTTGAGGTCAGCTAGAATCTTACGACATTGAGCTCTTATTGCGTCAACCTCGTTTATCATTGATAGTAATACTAATGCTAATGCCAATAGTAATAGTAATAGTAATAGTATTCCCAGTATAGATATTAATCGAGACCCACAAACCCAATCTAGGATCTGCCAGATGTCGTGCGGCGGGGGAGGGTTATCAACTTCCAACTGTGCATGCTTAACTAAAGGCTGATCTGGAAGGAGGCAGTGGGTGGATTTACTCAACCCTGCTTCCTCGGCAGTCTCAGATATGTTACTAGAATTTAAGTTTTCGTTATCGTACGTCATTTTGAGATAACTCACAAACTCATAATATAAATACTAATCTGAAACTGTGATTTCTAATTCGAGATTTTAATCGCACCCGCTGCGATCAGTACCAGGCCGATAAGTATTACAGAACTTTGCCCCGGTAGATAACTCACTTGAAACTACTGGACACTCCAAACACCACACTGGGAATAAATAGATAGAGATGTGCTTATTTATTGGATTGGGTTAGTATTGAGTTAGTGTTAGAGTTTGAGAGTGAAAACTTGGGAATGGCCTTGAGGCGGTTTGGCAATACCGATAAGAGTCGCGGCCTTTTCAAAGAGTTCTAGGCGGTGTGTAACAGCAATAAATTGGGCATTGATGATTTGAAGAGATTCGCGTAGGGATGTGATTTTGTCTTTATCAAGGGCTGCATCAAGTTCGTCAAAGATGTAGAAGGGTGATGGATAGATCTCATGAATTGAGAGGAGAAGGGAAAGAGCGGCCATGGTCTTCTCTCCGCCTGAAAGGTACTTGGCTTCACGGAAGGTCTTGCCTGTTGGCATAACATAAGCAGTAGTGCCACCGGCATAGGGCTCTTGTGGAGTCTCTAGACCCAGATGGGCTTTAACGTGCTCGGTAGTGGTGGCAGTCAGTTGGGTATAGTGGCGGTTGAAAGACTCATTTAGCCTATCAAAAATAGAAAGGAAAAGAGATGTTCTTTCTTTTTTGATATCATTATGTTGTTTTTGAAGATCGGCAAAGTGAAGTCGGGCTCTTTCGGCCTCTTGGACAAGTGTTTGGTAGTGATCTTCTGTTTCTAGATTGGCTACTTTGTCTTTAAGGAAGGCTTTGATAGATGTAAGCTCTCTTTCGGCCTTTTCAATATCATCATCACTACAAGGCATTTCCGTAAGAACACTGCCATTTTCTTGGGCAATTCCTTCTTCGGCAATGTATTGGTCGATCTCTTCATACTCGTCAGTGAGAGCAAGTAACTGCTCTTGAATAATCTTCATTTCAATGGCCTGGGGCGAGTCCAGTTGGTTGGCTAGAACTACTAGCTCTTGTTCTAGAGCTTCAATCCGTTGGTCAATCGCTGTAATGTGCGGCAGACAGTCGGGTTGGACGAGTGGTTGGGCGGCAGGAAGAGTAGCTTGCTTTTCTTGGATTTGGAGAAGTACTTGGTCTAAAGAGCCTTGGATAGTTTGAAGGTTGTGCTGCCAGGCTTCTTTCTTCTTGTAGATGGTTTCTTGCTTTCTTTGGGCACTTTTGGAATCAACTACACCCTGTTTAAGTGCTTGCTGAATGAGAACGGGATCTAGTTGGGAGGCAGCAATGATCTGGTCGCGTCTAGCTTTAATATCTTGAAGAGATTCGGCCAAGTCTTCTTTGAGCTGGGCTAACTCCGTATGTAACTGGGCTAGGGCCGGTGAGATCTGGATACGGGGCTGATTTTCCTTTTGGAATGCGCGCAGCTTAGTGCTCTCTTCCCGGATTTCAGCCAGAAGTCGGTCTCGTTTTTCTTCTAAGCCTCTGACCTCACTACGGCCGATTTGAGCTATTCGTCTGACTGTTCCAGTGGTTGATACTACAATACCGTCGAGAGTAACTACCTTAACATTCGCAATCTCTGGCACGCCTTCACCTAAATAGACTAGGGCTGAACCACAAATATAAGCCGCAAGTTGTTCGGGTTGAGGTACTTGTGGAGATAGAGTAATAAGATCGGTAAACCGGGCATATTCCTCAGAAGGAGCCGTACTTCCAGGCGGGAAAGTAGCTGTGATTCGTGATAGTGGCAGAATAGTCACTCGGCCACATCCAGCATTGGACAGACCATTAAGAATAGGCAGTACACTCTTTTCACCATCAACAATCAAGATGTTCTTTTTACTAGCAATCAAAGCCTGAAGAGCTACCTGATACTTAGGATCTTTAACACTGACTAGATCTTCTAACTTTCCAATGATTTGAGGCATCTTTTGTTTGAGCTGCTCGATATAGTAGGCTAGTCGTGACGTATGGGCACTTTCTCTTTGGTAGGCTGAATGTCCAGATAGAACTTGAAGCGTAGCATGGAGTTCTTTATTCAACTCGGCCAAACGCTCACTTTCTTTCTCTTCATAAATTTCAGTACTCCCTTCATTACAATCAGCCTCACTTTCTTTGATCTTCTTTTCGATTTCCAGAATCTTGATCTTTTGATCGGAAACGTCTTTTTCTTCTTCTAACTGTTGTAACTGAACAATCGTTTTGATTAGAGTTTCTTTGTGTAACTTATCGGCCCAGGGATTCTTTTCTGGTACTACTTCATTGATTTTCTTCAGTTGCCAGAGACATTCTTCTATCTGGGAAGCAGCTTCACTCTTGCGCTCAAGTAAAAGGTCTTGTTTCTTCTTCAGTCGGTTGATTTCTTGCAGGGCCCTATCTCTGGCCTCATCTTGTTCACGGACGGCCGATCGTTGCTGGGCTTGTAGAGCTGTTCTTTCGGCCCGAGCCTTAATGATTTGAGTTTGTAACTGAGCCATCAGTACTTCCGTCTGCTCTACCTGGCCTAGTTGGTGCTCCGCTCTTAAGACATTTATCTTTTGGGTCATTTCGGCCTTAGCTTGTACAATGGACTGTTTACGTTTCATAAGCCGGGCTCGTACCATTTGACTCTTCTTAGTAAAGACTTGTTTGTATCTTGCTACCATTTCTTCAGTCTCTTTACTTTCCTTCAAGTTGACTTCAGCACTTCTTTTCTTCTCATTGACTTCATGCAACTCCTTTTGAGCTGTTTCCTTAGCGGTCTTACTTATCTTGTAACTTTCTTTATACTGACTAGATCCTGATATCTCATCAATTAGTTTAGTTAGTTCACGAGGTAGTTTAATCATTGATTCATTCTGGGAAATCAGAAAATTCCGATGTTTCACTGAAACTCCTTCTTCTCCTAAGTACTTCATGTACTCCACTGCACTAACTCGCGTATCATCAATACTATAAACAGAAATCTCATTTCTTATCTCTCTTTTAAGCCAAACAAGATTACCTTTCTTGCTTCTATACTGTACTGCCACAGAAACTGGACCTGTGGTTCCTCGGCCGGCTACACTACCTCGTATTTCACTCAATTCAGCTCCCAGTACAAAGGCCAGAGCATCTACTAAGTTACTTTTTCCGGCCCCATTAGGTCCAACCACACAAGTAAACTCCGAAAAGACTATATTGGCCTCTTGCCGGTAGGTTTTAAAGCAAGACAACTCCATTCTTTCCAGACCCATATTATCTGACGAAAAAATTGGACTATATTGAGTTGAGTTGTGTTTGAGTTGTGTTTGAGTTGGGTTGTGTTGTGTTAGGTTAGGTTAGGTTAAGTTTGAGTTAGTATTGGGTTGGGTGGTGTTGTGTTAGGTTGAGTTGTGTTGTGTTAGGTTAGGTTGTGTTAATTTTATCTAGTGATGCCCTAACCTTATCTTAACTAACTACTATCTTATCTCAAACACAACCCAAAATCACCTTAGCTCAAACTTAACTCAACTTATCTTATCTCAAACTAAACTAACTACTATCTTATCTCAAGCTAAACTTAACCAAACTAAACTAACTACTATCTTATCTCAGACTAAACTTAACTAAACTTTATCTCAACATAACTCAACATAACTTAACCCAAACTTAACTTAACTCAACTCAATCTAAACTCAATCTAAACTTAACTAAACACAAATTGGTGGTTTATTCATTGGCCCTCTTTTCCATACACCTCTTATATAGGGCTCTTTTCAAATCAGAATTGTCCTCTGGATATACATCTACCAAAACAGTCTTCTTTTCAACCTTAGGAACCTCAATGCTTTTGGCTATCTTTGCAAATCGGCCTAGTTCGGCTTCAATCGATAACTTTTCAAATTCAATCTCTTCTTTGGCCGTTTTAAGGTCGGTCCAAAGTAGATTACCAATCATACGCATATAAAATAACTGACTAACAACTTTGGATTCTTCTTCCAATGTTTCCTCATAATTCAATAGATAAGCCGCAGCTTGTCCTAAGACTTTATACTGTTCAACTGGTGAAGAATCAGAGTCTGCTTCGAAATACTTCTCTAAATAAGGGTTCTTATACTTCCCAGCATAAAATCGCTCGGCTTTTTGGGTTCTTCTTAAGTAGAACATAGCTACTAAAGGAATCAACATCCCAATCGCGATGAAGTGTAGCATAACACAGAAAATAAAATGCGACTTTAAGCTCTAATAGCCAAATTGAGTTGATATTAAGTTGGGTTGAGTTGGTATTAGGTTGGGTTGAGTTGAGTTGAGTTGGTATTAGATTGGGTTAGGTTGTATTAGGTTTTGTTAGGTTGGGTTGTTATGGGATGGTTTTGATTTGAGGTGGTGCAAATGAGTTAGTTATAAATAAGATAAGTTATAAACAAGATAATAATAACCAAGATAGTACTAAACAAGATAGTACTAACCCAATAGATAGTTGTGGTTGGTTGCTCAAATAGAATGTATTTATTGAGTGGAAGTGGGTGTAAGAAGGTGTTCAAGCGCCCTGGCTTTTAAAAGGGCTCGACACTCGAAATCAGGAATAATTGCCTGGAGGATAGATTCGGCCGTTAAGTACTCTCCTAGTCTTAAGTAGATGAAGGCTCGAGCAATCTCTTCTTTGGGAACTTCAGATTTCAGCAGGAGAAGATTCCGGCCAATAGCTTGCATATCTGCTTTGAAAACACTGAAGTAACGACGGTTGCGCATACGTTTTTCAAAACACAAGGAAAGAACACTTAAGATAGTATCAGTTTGGGGTAAACTCCAAATATTAGGCGAGTAAAAAGCTTTCTCCAGTAGATCAGCTGCCTTATCAAAATCACGTTCAGCAAAAGCACGATGCCCGGCTTCTTCCGCCGCTTTAGATAAGAAGATATTCTCAGAGGTAGTTTCTTCCTGAATCTCTTCCGTCTTAAAGAGTTTATCACAAACCGAAATGGCTTCTTCATATGGCAGTTCACGAATTTGCTTTAAAGCATTGATAATGGGATACTCGGTAGCTTGAGGTTCATTTTCTAAGAAATAAGCAATCTCATAATTTCCTTTTTGGGGAATATTTGTGATAGGTAAAAGAGTAGTAACTACTTGTCTAAACTGACTCAACTCTTCTTGGTAGGACTGTTGGTGGTTATGAAGGTTTTGAATGTACTTGATAATAGTACGTGTATATCGACCAATCCGTGTTTTAAGAATCTCTTCTTCCTCTTCATCCTGAACTAAGTCCTTCTCAGCATTAAGTCGTCTAATTATCTCAGTATAATGAATAGGCAGATTATTCTCAACTAAGCAGCCAAGAATATAAAGATTAATCCGGTGTTCTTCTTTCTTCTTTAGATTGCGAATTCCTTCAATGGCCAATAAAGCTTCCTTTCTCTTATCAAGATCTTCAATCAGAAGAGTACTATTGATCTGTTCCATATGACTCTTTTCTTCTTTCCTTTCTGTTTCTACTTCCAAGATAACTTCTGTCATTTGGTACTTCTCAATTAACTTACTACGCTTCTGTTTCAGAACAGCCGGAATGTTCTTTCCCTCTTGGGCATTAAGAAAGTCTAGAAGAACAGTAGGAAGACCCTCTTTAGCAAACCAGTTGTTATATTTGGTGAGTTTCTTAAAGAACTGATCTACATCCTTTGGCTTTTTAAAGACGGTTATTTCACAAAGATTAGTGATTTCTTCCAATCTCTTTTCCTTGTTAGAGATACCACTGACCTTTTCCTCGTCACTTTCATCATTAAAGTGTCTATTTATAGCGCGATTAACCTTCTTTTCAGATTCAGCCTCTAATCCTTCGAAAAATTTGGACATACTAACCCGTTCCCATCGATATATATAACATTGGATTGAGTTGAGTTTAAGTTGTGTTGTGTTCTGTTGTGTTTGGTTGGGTTGTGTTTGGTTTGAGTTTGGTTGGGTTGTGTTTGGTTTGAGTTGGGTTGGGTTGAGTTATGTGAGTAGTAAGTAGTGAGTTGTGTTCTGCTGAGTGAGTAGTAAGTAGTGAGTATTGAGTTAGTCTTGGATTCGATTGAATTGGCTAGTTTAGCTGTGTGTTGATGTTTAGTGGGTTTAAGTTGGTATTATATTGAGTTGGTCGTGCTATCTCATCTAAGTATTATCTTAAGTTATCTCATCTCATAACCACACCCATCTCATAACCTTGCTCAACACATAACCACACTCAACACATAACCTCACTTTACTCAACACATAACCACACTTTACACACCACTCAACGCAATCTTATCTTAAATAAACTTACTTGATGCTTTATTGAATTAACTGGCCTTCTTGGCCCGGTCTTCCCGGGCTTGCAGTTTAGCCCGCATGATATGGGCAACTCGATTGGAAGCCAAACCAATCACGGCCCGTGGTAACAGCCCAAGGACATACGCCTGAATCGCATGCGGAATGTAAGCATAAGTAACTGCAGCCGCACCAAACGCATGAACACAACACCGGCCATACGTATCAGCAGATGGTACAAAGAAACCCGGCCGTTTAGCCCCCGATAACTTACTACAAACCAATCCGGTCATTAAAACTTCAAAGTGGTAATTACTTCCTTCCGCCTGCACACTTTCAGACCATAGTTGCAAGAAGGCCTTTGTTCCCGCATAAATCTGCTGGTACGGACTAGGCATCCAGCCTAACATTGAACCTACACTCAAAACATACTTCTTACTCCGCGGCGTACTCTCCCAAGAAATATACTCCCGCGTAATCTTCAATGTATTCACTAAATTAACCTCTATAATATCCCGCTCACTCCCTAAACTATGTTCAGTATACAACATAGGTTTACTCCCATTAATACCTACATTATTCACTAAAATATCAATCTCCAGGCCACGGACCCCACTTAAAGCCCGACTAAAATCTACCTCCATCGTAAAGTCAATCACTACTATCTTAACCTCCACCAACTTACTTAACTCCTTAGCTACTTCCTTAAGTTTAGCTTCCGTCCGACTAATCAGGACTAAATTAATCCCTACCCGAGCCATCTCCCGAGCTATCCCTAACCCAATTCCATCCGTCGCCCCCGTAATTATCGCCCACCGTCCTTGCTTAGCCCTTAAAATCCGCCGATTCACCACCCAACGCACACCTTGCATACTCAATCCCCCCAACACAGCCAGAACAGTCCGTACTCCAACCATCCATCCTAGAACTTTCACTACCCCCAACCCATAATTAACCAAATCTTCAAATACCCAATGCCCAAACATGACCTTTAATTTAGAAAAAGAGATCCCTTTATTCATTCATCAGTTTAAGATGCCTAAACCTTCTTAAACCAACTCAACCCAACCCAATACTATTCCACGTTAAAAACGTACTTCCTAACTAGACCATCAGAATATCCAGCAATAAGAGTAAACCGATCGGCCCAGCACATAGCAGTACAGAAACCTTTACTCTCCTCTGGATTAGGAATTTCAATAACGATTTCCTTCTCAATTATATCCCAGATAGCAATACTGTTATCCATACCAGCTGCTAACCAGTAGGCTGAAAAAGCAAACTCCAAACTATGCACTGGTTCTCCAGCTGAAATCTGGTACTGATTATTCTGACCTTTCAAATCCCAAAGTAAAACCGACCTATCCCGACCAGCTGTAGCACAAATTGAACCATCCGGACTAACTGTAACTGCATCAAGAATACTAGAAGCTTTCATAATGTTCTCAACCATTTCAGACTCAATATTCCAAGTAACTACGGCTCCATCAGTATAAGCACAAAGAATAAGCATAGGATTCTTAGGAACTGCTTTGATAGTCGTAATAGTAGCTCCAGGATTATCTTGTCTTACTAAACTCTTCTTTAACTCCAGATGAGAATTCCAGATATGTAAGGCTCCACTCTTACCCCCAGTAAAGATGTACTCTAAACTCTTCTCTTGATTACCTTCTCGGACTGTAACTAGATGAGTAAGAAGGGCATAAGGCCTGTCCTGATGCGGTGCTTTTAAGACCGGATCAGTAGGTGAAGTAGGCCAAGCCCTTACCATATTATCTCTACCAACAGATACTCTATAATCAGACGTCTTAGATAAATCAAAAGCTGTAACAAAACCACCATGACCACGATGGGTCTTCTTTAAACGACTGAACTCTTCACCGGTCATATCTTTAGAAATGGTCCAACCCTTAATAGTCTTATCTCTAGATGAAGTATAGATTATTTGGTCTTCATCTTCTCCTTTGATTTTTATATCTGTTACTGCATTAGTATGCGCTTGAAACTGAAGTCTTAATTTAGAAGTTGCGAGTGTCGTCATGCAGGGAGTCAAAAAAAGAAAAATATAAGATGGTCTAGAATGGGTTAGTTTGGGTTGGCTGGGGTTGGATTGGGTTAGGATTGAGTTGGGTTGAGTTTGGGCTTGTTTTGTTATATTTTGGTTAGTGCTAAGATAAGATATTGAGTTGGTTTTGGAATGGATTAGTATTGGGTTGAGTTGAGTTGGAATATTAGAAGAGTTTTGCTGGATTTAGATTGAGTTTAGTTAAGATTAGTTTGGGTTGTGTTAAGATTAGGTTAAGATTAGGTTAAGATGGTGTTTAGATTGTGTTGAGATGGTGTTATGTTTATATGTTGTTTATATGATGTTTAAGTTGTGTTATGTTTAGATGTTATGTTTAGATGATTAGGTTGCATTAAATGGTATTATGTTTAGATGTTGTTTAAGTTGTATTATGTTTAGATGATGTTTAACTTATACTAACCCAATACTAAGTTGTATTATCTCTTTCTACTTATATAACAACCGATCTTAATAAAAGCTAAGTAGTCATTCTGCTGACTTAATCTAATACTAAACTTAACTCAACTCAAACTTAACCTAACCTAACCCAATACTAAACTTAACTCAACTCAATCTAACTCAATCTAATACTAAACTTAACTCAACTCAAACTTAACCTAACCCAATACTAAACTTAACTCAACTCAATCTAACTCAACTCAATCTAACTCAATCTAATACTAAACTTAACTCAAACTAAACACAACTTAAGCTAATTTATTGCCGGCAGGTGCTAGGAAGATAGCTTACAACTAGTCCGATGGTGGACTAGGTAAGAATCAGTGACTTGAGCTGCCGCGAAATAAGTTGGCAGAAAGACTTGACTGCTCGGCACTTTTGCCCACGAATACGGAAGGAAGCAACGGCGCCTTCACTGGTCCGGTAAAGAAGGGCATTGATATAAACATCTGTTCCTTGAATAGTCGTGGCAAAGATGTTCTTCACTAGAATATCGGGTGATGACGTATCACTGGACTGAATGGCTCCTTTTTCATAGGCCCGTGTATCAACTACTGTGCCTTGGGTAGAAGCAAGTACGGCATTGGTTATTTCGGCTAGTGAATGGGCATACTTGGCTAAAGTAATGGTATAGAAGTTCTCCCAAAGTAATAAGGCCCATTTCTCTTTAAACTCTTCCCGGTCAATTTGGCGTTGAGTTAGCATATCTGCTAGATTAAACCTTATCTCCTGTAGGTTTTGTAAGAAGAAATCATCACGACCTATTCGTCCAGATGTAATTACTCCACCTATAAATCCACTATCGGCCTCTTCAATTAACAAAGTAATAGTAAACGTATGGGCAGTATGAGGACGTAAACTGCCAATTACTGGTGAGTTAATCAGTCGAATGTTAGAACTAGTTACTATATCCATCTCTAATGATTCCAATAAAACATCAGTTTGGTTGACAAAAAGTGTATCTAAGATAATTTCAGACCGATTACAAGTAACTTGGCACTCACAGTACAAAGGATCAATAACTGAAGACATTTGGAAGATGTTTTTGATTTTGAATAGAGATGGACTTTCTGGTTTCTGAATGAACTCCTCTAAACGACTAGCTTGTTCTGGTCGGGACTGTTTCTTAACTAGTGTAAAGAAAGGCCGATTAGATACTGGTGTACTTACGGGGGTAGATACTACGGCTGGTATTGGCGTAGTAGTACTAGGGAGAGTAATTGCATGGGCTGCTACTGTTTCGGCTGTTTTAAGTAGAGCTACTCGTGAAGATTCATCTAAACTACCTGATTTCTGGCCTAGAGCACATACTTTAAGGGCAGTAGTCACAATCTTTTGGCGTAAATCCTTATCTGTACTAGAACTAATCTGACTTTGACCAGCTAGTTCTAGTAAAAACCGAGCAATACTCACTCCTGGGAAGATCTTAGCTAAGTCTTGTTTCTGACCAATACTACCTAGAATAGACTCTTTACCACTACCTAGTGATTCCTGGAGAACTTTAATGGCTGTAAGTGCTTGATTCTGATCGGCATACTTAGCTACTAAACAAAAGACATGTCTTAGAATCTTACCATACTTAATCTCCCCTAGTTGTTCAATTATATCTGGTAGTTGCGATACACCCATAATTTGCATAAGACTAGTCAAGTACTCTACTGCTCCTAAGGCTAGTTCGGGTAAAGATGATCCTAATAAACCTACTACGGCCTTACTAAGAGCACTACTAGTCGTACGATACGTAAGTAACATTCTTTGTAAGGCAGATAAGAAAAAGACACGACTAGATAGACCAGCTGTAAACTCTTTAGTTTCTTTCCCAGTTCCTTCCATAAACTGCTGTTCCAAGTAAGTAAAGAGATCACGGGCTTCAACTATCCCAAGAATATCCAGAACAAACTCAAAGACTTCAGTAGCAGCTGCCCGATTAACTCGAGCTAGTGCACTATTAAGTAATCGAGCTACTTTCATAGCCATACCTTCAAATAAACAACTGCCTCTTCTCTTAGCATCAGCAAAAGCCCGAATAATTTTGATTTTTGATTCAGCATCTAAATACTCAGTCGCCATATCTAAAAGTCCTTCAGCTGCTTCCTGGACCCTATCACTCTCCCGGCATAAACTTATCAAACCTAATCCTCCCTCTAGAGCTACTCCCCGTGAATTACTCTCCTTAGCAATCTCTATAATTCGATCAATATCCTGAATACGGGCAGCCGTCTGTAAGAAACACTCCTTAACTCCTTCATGAGGTGTACTGCGCATAGAATAGTACAACTCTAAAGCTCCTTCTGGATTGGCTAGTTCTAAAGTACGATATCCTTCGGCTAAACAGATTGGGTCTCTTTCCCCAGGTAAGTACGTACTTTTGATCTTCTCTAGCGTATCTTCAAATAGATAAGCCGTCTCTGGATTTTGAAGTAACATTCTTAAGGCTAAATAAGCCGCCGTTCTAGCTACTGGATTACTGTAGCTTAAGTTATCAACAAATGGGGCTTTTAAAGAATCAAACAGAGCAGGACTACCTATCCGGCCTAGTGTCCGTAAGACCCGTGCCCGAATATGTTCATTAGGATGGGATAAATGAACGCGCATCATATTACAAACCATAAGTACTTCGTCTTTTAAATTACCTTCTGCTGTTTCCACCTCAATACCTTCCATATACTGGTAAAAGAGAACGATAAGCCGCTTATCTTTGGAATTGGGAACACACATACTTAAAACTAAAAGTAAGTCCTGATGATCGACTCCCATAGCCATTTCCTTAACTATTTGCCAAAGTGCACAAACTTTATCTTGATCGGACCCTTTAGATAGCAACATTTTCACAGTTTCCTTACTCCAAGGTTCTTGGCGATCGCGCGATATGTAGAGAACTCGAGAATTAGCCATTTGTTTGCAAAAAATAGAATAATTTATGACATTAAGACGTTTAGACTTGTTTACGTACATGGAGTATTCGTTTGGGAGTGAAAAGGGGCGGATGGGTGATGATTGGGGCTATCTTATTGGTAGGTATGATGTTAAGTTGGGAGATATGCCAAAAAAGGAAAAGATTCCTGAAAAAGAGTTTAGTAAAGCTTCAATATTGGGAGTACGTATGTCAACTATGCCGAAAGAGGTTTATCGGGTGGGTGAGTATTGTGATTTAGTTGAAGTTTATGTTGAGGACTTATCTGTGCTTGATCGGGTTGTGCAATGGACGATTGCTTCTATTCGGTTTGATTTGGGGAGTAAAGTGCTTTATTTGAAACGGGGGTTGATTTCACGGGCTAATTCAGCGCATATTTACTTGAACATAGACTTGGCTGGGTATTTCAATGTGAGTACTCGTCGGAACTGGATTGCTAATGTTAAGGATTTATTGCGGTTGTCGAGTAAGAGTGGGATTATAGTGAGTACGGGGCAGGCGATTAGTCGGGAAGAAGTAGTGGCTTTGTTTAAACAGTTTGGGCTGAAAGAGAAGACTATTTTGCGGTTTGTGAGTGAGAATCCCCAGGAAATGCTTGTTCGAGCGGCTATTAGAAAGCATGCCCATTTAGGAGTAGTCTCTTTGGTTCAGCCTAATGAATCTGATTTTAAGCAAATGATCTATAAAGCAAACAAGCTCTACCGGAATATTAGATAGAATAAAGTTGAGTTAAGTTTAGTTAAGTTGGTGTTTGGTTGGTGTTTAGTTAAGTTAAGTTAAGTTGGTGTTTAGTTAAGTTAAGTTAAGATAAGATAAGATAGTGTTTAGTTAAGTTAAGTTAAGATAGTGCCAAGTTTGTGTTGTGTTGAGTTAATACCTAGTTGTGTTGTTGTTTAGTTGGGTTGTGTTTGTGTTATGTTTAGTTGAGCTGAATTAGTGCCAATAAAGTATCAAGTTGAATTAGTGCCAATAAAAGCATCAAGTTAGTGTTAAAGTGAGTTTAAATTAGATTTGAATCGATTTTATTTCGTAGTAGGTTGGGTTAGTTTTGGGATTTAGAATTTAAATAGACTTGATTTGTGTTTATACTTGGCTTAGATTGGATTGAGTTTAGTTGGATTGAGTTGGTGTTTTGGTTTGGATTGTGTTAGTGTTGGGTTAGAACTTGTCATAATGTAACTTGACTTAATTCAATCTAATTGAATGTAGTGCTGTCATACGGCCACTACCCTTTTCTCACAATGATCAACCTGATCACTGGCAAGCTACTCACTACTTAGTACACACTGTTACTAACACGTAACTTTAATAGAATCAAGGTCTTATAACCAAAGCATTTTTCTTATCTTATCTGCAATTCGAGATGACGTCATCCTCACACACAACCACATTTATTTAACAAATCACATCGATACTCGTCTCAAGGAAGGTCGTTAATAGAGTAGGCATTGGCCAATGAGCCATATCCAACTCATGGCCATGGAAATACTAAAATGTCATCGGACACCGGCAATGAAGTGTCTAAGAGCTTTTCATCCTTATCAAAAGAATTGGGTTGAAGGTATTCAGTAAGGCCTGTAACACGAATCTTTGCGGGGCTGCTAGACGGTTGGTCTTGGTCTGGAAGGTTAGTGCAGATGCTTAGAGAAGCACAAAACGGGAGATCTTTGCCTTTCGCGGTCCTGGCTCTGCAAATCAAGATTGTTGAATGATAGCACGGAAGAAGAGCAAGTTATGTCCGG